TCTCATACTGGTCAGGGCGTGGGGGGTTAGACTCTCATACTGGTCAGGGCGTGGGGGGTTAGACTCTCATACTGGTCAGGGCGTGGGGGGTTAGACTCTCATACTGGTGAGTTGACCTTTCTTTTTAACATTTTCTCACTCCACAGTAGTTGTTATATCATATGCCGATGGTGCAACTGGGTCAGTGACATTTTAGATTTTCAAATCAGCAAAAAAAAATAAAAATGAAACGGCAAGTCAGTTTCAACATTCTCAGGTTGAGAATGCTTGTCAGCCCAGCCATATACAAGCACACAGAGGGTTGAAATTGCGTTTCTCTTGGAGCAAATTATGTGACAATTAAATACATGGGACAAACAAAGTGCAGCTGTGACATGACAGTGCAAACAATCAGACAATCAGACAAACTATTGAAACATTGTAGTGCAACAACAAAGTACAAACAGCAAATAGTGCAATGAGCGGGTAGGAGGTAAATAATTGGCCTTGGAATAATAGCAGCAAATAAAAAATTGAAACATAGTATAAACACAGTAGCAGCATGAAATACGGTGTAGAGCAGAATAAATAGGACTGTATAAACCCATTTAAAGAGTACAATAAAACGGTATAAAAACCAGTTTTAAAAAGTCTAGGACAGTATGAGGGCAGTTTAAAGTGTCAATGCAGTGCGACTGAGGGAGTCAGTTTAAAGTGTCAATGCAGCGCGATTGAGGGAGTCAGTTTAAAGTGTCAATGCTGCGCGATTGAGGGAGTCAGTTTAAAGTGTCATCAGTGAGGTGAGTGTAGTTGTGTATTAGTCTCCATTCAGGCCTCTGGTGCGAGGTGGGGGCTTGCATGTGGAAAGAAACATATCTGATATCTGGCAGGGGTGAGTCTGATCCTTCTGAACCTTTTTACAGATATTACAGGGGAGAACAGTCCATGAGGTGTATGTGGGATCTGCAGCAATATTGGTTGCATGGTGGGCGCAGCGCTTCTCATACAGTTCAGAGAGTGCTGGGAGGGGGACACCAATGATCTTCTCCGCTGTCCTCACTATGTGCTGCAGAGATTTTTGGTCGCTGCTTTGCTGTTTCCAAACCAGGAAGTCACAGTCTCAAATAGTGAAAACTGTAATTGTTGATTGAATTGAAATTAATTTTTACTGACTGAACTATAAACATTTTATTGACATTAAAAGCAGACTATCCCTCAGTAGTCTCATATCATCACTCTCCATTCTCTTAATACAATAATGACTATAATCAACTCATGTATTCTTGAGTAAAATTTGAACCATAAGAATCTGATTGGAGTTTAATTTTCATCACTACCATTAGTTACAGAACAACAATGTTTTTTCAGCAGGTATTAATGGATAAATTAACAGGCAAATCTCAATTTCATTTCAATTAGAAAAATTAGAAAATATTATTCACAAATATTATTCACTTCATTTCAATCCCAAGCAAACCTGTTACATAATTGTCTGTTTATGTGACATATCACACTCCATTATGAAGGTATATGATAGGCTGCTTATGAGCCAGAGAGGGACCACACATGGGTGTTTTCATGCAACAGAAACCTACCTATTTGTTATGTGCTTTCCAGGCAGTTTATATCTAATGCATTTAAGTGAAAAAATTGAACATTCTGTCAAACGATAGTGATATGCATCATGATAGTTTTATCTCCCAGGCCTATTTCATTTGATGTAAAATGTGTTGCCAGTGAAATATTGGGTGTTAAACACTGAATTTTCAGTCAAGCATTTGTTATATTGATAGAGGAAAATTATGCTGAGACAATTTAGATTTTATTGACCAGCCCTATTTTATTGAAATTCAAAATGTCAATTATGCATGTATAATTCCTGCAGCAATAAGGAGTATCCAAGGGTTCCACAAACTACAATACACCAGAGGCTGGCGCCCAGTACGACCGCCTTCAGCATAGAAGCACGGGGTCCATCTTCAGCAGGTGGACTGAGTGTATCCCAGTATCCATGTGAAAAGATTAAAAATGGCCCACCGGACCTCCTACCCCCCTCCTACGCTGTACCCCACAATCACTACCAAGACTACCACTGCACAAGAAGGAAAGGTAGGCCTTCTTCCAGCAATCCTACAATGTTGACTCATATTATCTGAATAAAAATTTATGGAAAAACTACGACCCATCATCCGAAAGAATCCTTCAAAGGCCTTGTGTAAATAAATACATTTCTTTGTTGATATGTCAGTAACCCTCTGAATACAGCCCATGAACAGATGGTCAACCATATGTAAATAAGGTGAAGTCTGATCACCTCACATGTATTCTTCAGAGTGTTTTTTTGCAGCCTTTAACAGACAAAATGTGTCAACTGTGTCCACAGTGGATGGGGAATGTCATACAGGAGATCACCTGTATAAGAAGTCATATATCGAGAGCATCACCAGTGAGGATGAGCACTACTATCGACCAGCCAGCTATTCTCAGTCCCTGGCCTTGGCCAGCAGTCCCTACAGGGCAGAGTCCACCCAACGGCAGGCCTGCATGTATGCCAGCACATCCCAGGCAATGGAGCCCTTGACCAACCTGGAAGACATGAGCTGTAGCACCTGGACCAGCATGTCACCTTATGGCAGCTGCACGGTGGCTGCCGTGCCCTCCGTGGAGCGACGACCCTACCAGCACTTCTCTGCCCACTTCACTTCGGGGTCCCTAGTGCCCAGACTAAGCGGGACATCTGGCCATACCTCACCTCAACTTCACAGGGACACCCACACTGTGTACCCTAACCCAACGGCTCATCAGCCCCCGCCCCGTCAATGTGGCCCAAACGTGTCTACCAGCAGCCCTGAGTATTTGTATGCCCATGCCATGCCCCGTGCCCTGTCCCCACACCATTACCACGCAGTTCCCACTGTGGGCATCGTGCCTGAGTGGAGTGAGGGCACCTAGCTCCAGGATGGCTTTTGCATGCCTGACGTGAACTTCAGCAATGAGAACAGGAGTGCAGATAGACATGCATGCGACAGATCAAGACACCAAGGTCAATGGAGGACAGAATCTCCCCAGACTGATAAATATTTTTTTCAAGCAGTTTGTTTTTGCACATTTTTATGAATTGTGTTTTTAGGTGTTGCATGTATGCAGTTAGTTTTAAATGATTACTATATAAAACAAAGTACTTTCAAAGTTTAAAATTAAACCAGTACAGTTTTCATCAGCTCTAAAAAATTCATGTTTACTCCTTTATCTACAATTTAAAAAATAGTAATAAGGTTGTCATTGGAAAAACATTATTGACACATTGAACTTTTAAGTTTGTATGAATGTTCAAAATTCATTTCATGTTATCCTTGCTTGATTAAGACCGGCCTGAAATGACCTCTTCCCTAAAACTATAGTGCGCTGGTACAAGCAGCTCATGCTTTCCTTGTAATCATACAGCCCTCATTCTTTCTGATTTACGGTTCGGCTGTTTGGTTCATGACCCTCCTAAGTTGCATGTCCCCTTTAATTAACATGTTTCTTATTTTTAAAACTTCTGTACTACATGGGTATGTGACAGGTCTCAGTGACATGAGATTAACTTCAGTTTTTTGGTCACAGCCCACTATCCATCTATAAGAGATCATGTTTGATGACTGATCAAATCCATACCTATATCCTCCTAACTCCTTAAAATAGTCAGGGTCACACTAGGGCCTGGAGTCTATCCCAAGCTACATAGTGCATTTCTTTTGGCCTGTATGAGGAAACTGCCATGATACAAAGAGAACATGCAAACACCACACAGATTTGAAGTAGAAGTCAAACTCCTAATCCTGGACATATAAAGCAACAGTGCAACCCACTGAGCCACTATGCCATTGTCAAAATACAAGAAACAGAACCATATAAGAAATCCATGCTGCCTTTCATTATTTTATGAGCTGCTACATACATAAGCTGTTATGCCTACAAATCAAAGTATCCTGAGGTAGGCTGTCAAGAGCACTGCTAGTAAAGGGGAAGAAAGAGTTACTTAATGGGGTCAGAGGCATGCCTGATGATTCAAGGTGGCTCATTTCAAGGTTTATAGTGCCACACAATACACAATGTACGCATGTGCAATAATGATATCGCAGGATGTGCAACGTCAAGTACGGCAAATGAAACACGAACACATCATGCTACAACTTTTTTGCTGCTTGATACAAAAGGAAAACTCACATGCTTCTCCTTTTCCATGATTAATCTACAACAGAAGTCTGTCTGCTATAACAATTTACTCTGATTTAAGGGGGTTTGAATACACAGAGTTTGTAGCTAGTGAGTGAGATGCAGATGTGCGATATTAATACTGGCATGACGTGTTAGTGTCGCTGAAACATTTTTCTTCTGTCATAGGATTGTCAAATTTAATAAGCTTTGCAATTTTAATGATTATTCCTTTTCAGTATTATCTAGTATAATGTGATGTTTTCGTATACCATAGAACATGCGGACAACTTCTGTTAAACCAACAGTAATGTTTACTAGAAGTACTCTGGTCAATGACATGTATATAGCTGTCTACCACTTTGCAGGCTCCCCCGCGTCAGTCTTCCCAGTGCCGCTACCTGATCCGTACAATCTACCCAATCTGTTCCTTCCGGATCCTGTTCACCTACTTTACATGTGCGCATGCATGTTGCTACCCAATTTGTACTGGAAGTCCAATTTACCGCAGCCCCCAATACAAGACAATGCATGCGGGAAAACGTCTATGCTAAAAGTATAGTAGTAATAACAAATCGATCGTCATTATGATTACTACATATAATATTTAATTACAAATGTAAAAATGACTTTTACATTATAACACTTTATCAATCCTCATCACCGCCAAACAGCTGCAGTATACATCACTGACATGAACACTCTGTCGCAACAATCTATAGTATTGTACACACTGTAAACACTACACACAGGTTAAGAAAATAAATCAGTTTAAGTTTACCATAATTGCTTTTGCATGAATTCTGCATGCTGTCTACGAGCCAATCATTTTCATCCCTCCTGCTTAAATCACTCACAGCCGGGTCTGATATTTTTCAATATCAAGCAGTCCTAGTCATTTTTAAATGTTCTTACTGCCCAATATAAAATGTAAAGTATAAAGCAGTATAGTTCACAGAATGCCAACAATTTGTAAATACCAGTTTTTAATGTTTATAGTATTTATTGTACCTAAACACTAGGAAATTGTTAGTTTCCAGTTGATATGAATGTTTTGCTAGTTGCCCTTCCCACCTATTTACCTTTTTAACATAATGAAATGCTTTTGATTAGAAAATGGCTATTAAAAATGGCATTGTAATGTATGTAAATAAACACTATATGTAGCGAGAACGCAAGTACATTTTAAGGAATATTTTAGCTTTATTTCTCTGATTGTTTTCCATCATTAGTAGAAATTAAAGAATTTTCAACCAATAATCAATTTAGAAATATACTTTGTGATCCTATATAAACACTTGTATGTTGCAGGGATACAAATTGAAAAAAGTCCCTCCTACCGAGGAACTTACAGGGAGATACAATTGATTAACAATGCAGACAAAGTGGCCCTGCTAATCACTCTGCCCGGATATGAGACCCAACACATCTTCATGCTGTGCATGATACAGCACACACTTGTGATGGAGAAGGGGGGGGGGCAATCAATTAAACTAAACTTTAGAATGTAGAGGAGTTGTTGTATCCACATATTTAATGCTGGGACCATCCTAAGGAAAGATTATATGTACTGATCACCTAGTCAAAATACTAATGTCACAATGTGTCTAACTAAAGCCTTAAGCAAATGAAAGAGCATTTGTGGCTAATCAAAATTCCAGCTAACCTCTATTTAGTTTAGTAGTTTAGTTTTACTTATGTAGCTAGCTCTCTGTAACAAACCATTTTATCATCATTTTTAAAGATCTAACAGCCCAGGACAGCTATCCAGATATTTGCTCCCAGCCAAAATCCCATGGAATAAAACAACCTCCTAATATTCTAAGTATGTTCAGTCTGCATAGTATATTGCTTCTGGAAGGTGGTTCAAAGGGTTTTAAAAATGACTGAAAAAAGCAGTTTGAACCCTTAGAAAAACTACCACTCTGTCTCTTTGGGGGATTTCTGTACTCAGACATGGCGACCTGGTCCTCAGAGAACCTTTGATCCGAGCTACCCAGCCCATCTTATCTGGCCCTGAAGAGATTCCTACCCCCTCCAGCATCCAACAGAAAGAGAAAGTCATTAACCCCAGACCCCCAGGGGATCAGTTCTGCTGTTCAAGAGACAAGGCGGGGGGAGCCCTTTACCCACCACTCACACAAGAACACAGTGTATGAACCAGGATTGATGAGGCCATGTGGTCTTCAAGCTTTCATATGCCGAAGCAGGCTTGAGAAAATAATAATACATCTCCCTGACCTTAACTTGTCAGCTGCTTAAACATGTTTATTAAACCAAACATGTGACAGAAAACACAAGGTTGTCCTTTTCTAGCCATCTAGAGACTGTCTATTTCCTTGTGTCAAAAATCCCCCACTTGTTTGACATAAACACACCCCTCCTCCAAAAGTAACATTAAAACTGATCTAGAACCTAAGGAATCCTGAGGCCCTTTTAAAAAGATGGTATAAACTAGTGCTGCACCTAAATGAATTTTTTACTGAAACCAAAATTTAATTATTTTTTTCAACCAAATACTAAAACAGAAGTGAACTTTGGGTATTTACTTGATCATTTATGTTCCAATTTATTTCAAATTAATGTATTTCATTAATTTTGCTTTTCAGCTTATCCATTAAAAGAAATTATTAATGCAGCAAAATGGAGAGAAGTGGGTTTTACTTTTCCTCTGAACACTGCAAGCCATTATTAGACTCTTTTCAAATTTTAAATAAAAATAAAAAATAAACTATGAAAGTCAGCCTCCTTTAGCCACCAAGCAATACATAAAACAGTGTATGCAGCCCTTACATCTTTGCTAATGTGCTATTAGTGTTAAGAACGGCAGCAAATCTAACAGCCTAAACCAAAAAAGGTTCAATGTTCCTAACAGAGTGGCTGCTCTGTCATGAAACTGTAAAGCTGGAAAGTTTTTATAAAATACAGACTGTTTGAAATGCTGGATAAATAGATGGTCTTTGAGCCAAGGCTGTAACAAATGATAGATAGATAGATAGACAGACAGACAGACAGACAGAGAGACAAATACTTTATTCATCCGAAAGGAAATAAATAAATCCCAAAGGACAATATATTGTCTGCAAAGTGATAATATGGTTGTACATTATTCAGACCATTACTCTTTACCTTAACCACAAAACATGCTATTCAATATTAGAAGCCATTATTTTGGTATGACAATAGAATAGAACAATACACTATTGGGCACAAAACTGTGGTGAGAAACAATTAAAAGAAATTTGCTTGTTTAATCTATGTATAAATTACTAAGGGTAATGCTGTTGGACTAGGTAACAAAGATCACAAACAATGCTAATTATGAACAAGCTGTACAAAGTATTCAACAGCAATGTAATGAACATGCTAATTAATTTGACCTGTAGTTCTCAACAGGATAAGCAGTTAGCTAAACATAAGGGTGAAAGGAATAAATTAGCCTACATTTTGTGATCAGTACCTCTACAGTTTAATATCTATTATTTGATAACTATATACTATGTCCCAGATAAGTAGTGTCAGTCTGTTTTCATTTACCTCAGACAAAAGATAGTGTGATAGACATATAATCTCAGGGAAGAGACATTAGTTTAAAATAAGCCATTTGTGTCACAGAGGTTCCATCTACAGTTGATACGCAGAGACTGAATGAGCCTTCAGACTGAAAGTGGGACACAATGTACCATAAATAGCTTCCAGCTGTCTCATCACTACAGCTGATAAGGACCCCCTCTCCAAAAAAGAAAAAAACATGGGAAAAGGAAAGCTCAGACTTTTCACCAGACAGTGGTCACATCCACCTGCATGTTGTACCATATGGAGCACATTGCAGAATATGGGGGGGATAAAAGGGAAACACTTTTTAAATGAAAAATCGCTGATTTTAAAGAGTATAATACATTTAGCAGACAGTCTTATAACGCTCTATTGAAATGAGCTTAGTCATTTTCCAAGGAAAAGAAAAAAAACAGATGGTGAAGGTAAACAGAGCAGGCATTTTGTTAGGTGGGGGGAAGTGGCACATCACTCACCTCGCTCTGTAATACCACATTCAGACACAGACACGTTTGTAATTATATCTTTGTGGGGACTCTACATTCATTTCTACGGGGGAAAACTCTTATCCCAACATGACAACCGTAGCCCCCACCCAGCCCTAACCATAATCATAAACAACCAAAGTACGAGACTTTTGGCAGTTTTAGGTTTTTGATTGCATTGCCGATCTTTGTGGGGACCTGAACAATGGTCTCCACAATGTCAAAATAACAGGCTTTTATCACATTGTGGGGGCAATATAAACATAATCCACACACACACACACACGCATACACACATGCTTATTTATCACAATTTTACAGTTACGATGTGTCGAAATGCAAAATTCAGTAGGTAACTACTCTTTATTCTATATCATGGCAACCTAGTAACATTAGTGGTAACTTTCCAGTGTCAATGCGAAACCGTAACAGGATTACCGTAACAGACTCACTAAGTTTGACTCATGCAGTTAGGCTGTATGCAGTGCAATTAGGCTCTTGTTACATTCTTGAGTGAAGCACTGGAGGCACGCAAATAGCTGAGGACTTAATTTAGCAATCACTAAACATAGTTATAACCGTCACTGAAAAATAACTAGCCTATATAATATATAATTATATAATAATAATATAATACAGTGGTACCTCGGTTCTCGAACTTAATCCGTTCCAGACTCCGGATCGAATCCTAAAAAATTCGAGTTCTGATCGTATTTTTCCCATAAGAAATAATGGAAAACCAATTAATTGGTTCCCGGCCCCCAAAACTGCACCTAAATATGTTTTTTTTTTTTTTAAATAGCATTTAAACACCGTTTCCTGACCATATCCGTGCATTTGAAGAGAATGATCCAAGCACTTCACTGGGGACGGTTATCTTATTTCATACCTATCAGTCCAATGTGTGATTAGCTATCAATAAAACAGTGGCCTGGGGCCTAATCATGGTGAGAGGACTCCCCAGTGGAAACTCCTCCTGCTGATCCTAGTTGCGTACACCGACCCCCAGGTCAAAATCTGATCTCTCTCAAATGCAAGATACAGTCGCCTGTATCTTATGACTCCTATTCCAATATATGAAGATAAACTAGAACTCAATCAACTACTTACCTACTGAATGAATTATTCTATCAATTAATTGACATTTATGCAGCATGCCCCTAAAAACAGCACAGTAATACTGAGACAATCACAAATCTCCAACTGACTTTATGAGACTTAAAGCATTGCAGACCTATGGCTTATAATAACAGCAGTTTGGCATAAGGAGGACTAAGATACTTCCATAATGAACTACTAAGATCAAATGAATCAAGGCACACTCATACCCCCCTAGAACACTACTGAAGAAAGGAGAAAAAAATCACTGTGTGAAAGTTTAAGGGACATGTCTGACAGAACCTTAAAAGAGGACCAAACATCATATTCAGGGTTAGGAACTACAGGCCTTCGCACCAAGCTTGAAGCTGTTATCTTATCTGTGACAGGTTGTTTGCCTTTGGTAACAGCTTTGTCCTCTCATGTGTCGGGAGGAGTTTTTACCTTTAGAGCCGACCTCTGGATTGAGGATGGGGGAGAGAGACATGGGTTGGATACGTGTTGGTGGTCTCTAGTTCCATCAAACCCCAAACTCAATGCTGAGAAAAAACATTGGCTCTGTGCTAAATCTATGCCATGTTAAACACACTAAACTGATAATTGGTTGTCAGATCTGAAGAATATTTATTAAAAGTTATCCTGTGAATTACCATTTTGGTCCTGCTTGCTGACTGGACCCCTCCATTTTCTAACTATATTTTTAAATGTACTACATAATGAAGCGGGTACACATGTCCCCACACTAAAATGAAATTCATATGTGATCTGTGAGCACATCACCCAAGTTTCCTGTAAGCCTCTACACTGATTTTTTTTTTTTCTTCTTTTGAGGAAGTTCAAGTGCAGAGTCAGTGAGCAGGGTCTAGGTCAACTTTGTTCTAGAGGAATCACCATTCTCAATGACATTTCATATACTGCATATGCTCTCAATATTAGACTTGACAGGGGCACAGTTGGAATCATGCACAGACAAACTAAGGAGTTGTGTTTAAAACACAGAAAGCGCCATTTTGTTCTTAACCCCCTTTTCCTAACTAACCCAACAATGCAAATATGTAATTTCAGATACATCCAGATTTTCAGTTCAGTTTATTTTTATATAGCGCCTTTCACAACAGTTGCTCCAAGGCACTTAACATTAGTGTGCTGTGGTACAACTTCAAGACTGAATAACTTTTCAAAGACGTTTTGTATTTCTCCAAGTCCGTCATTTTCACTTTTTAAAATTGAAAACATTTTATTGCCTGGTAGACTCAGTGCATGCTGGGAATGATAGCAGAAGGCTGTTATCTTTGGAGCTAAATTAAATAGCTTTTATTCAAATAATGTACATTTAAAAAGTAAAGTATATATAACCCACATTTATTATAGG